TACAGCTTCCAAGAAATAACACAAGGTCAAGGTAAGAACTAGAATGTCACCTTTTAAGTTACATTAAAAACTTCATCCCCTATTTTGTAACCCTTAGGACTTGATTTTTACTTAAAATAGTATATTGACAACCCCTGAAGTTAAACCTATTTAATAAAAGAAAAATCATTCAAATTGGTTCCGTTGATTTCGGTGAATACACATAAATAAAGAAAAAAATTGCGCGTCAATAATACAAAAGAACCTCCTAATTTATTTTGAACTCGGTTAAATTATGGTAAATATGTATGCATAAGTACATATTTTATATGAAACTTATAATATTAACATGGTATATAAGTTTCAAATAAGATATGTAGTAATATTTTAGTAGTGATGACTTATATACGTAGTTTGTTTTCGCCGTAGTCCCTCTGTGAAACCAAACTTTCCAATTACGCCAAATAACAATTTTACGGTAACAAATTAAAACCGCAGGACTGAAATACGAGCCCGGTGTTAGTTTTGATAGTAGTTGATATTATTTTAGGTAATATTGCGATATCGCTAAGTACTGATAATCTCAGTGAAGCAAATCGCGCCACAACAATTTAGTTACGGCGTGCGCGTAATGTTGTATTACATAGCTTTGTACAAATCGACGATAGCACAGATTTAGATCTAAGTTAATATATTACAATATTTAAAATAAACGATGTCACAATTTGTTTATTGTGGGTACTATCTTTCAATGTACTCGTATATGCTCTTTCATCGTTGGTATATGTAAAAATAAAGATCCTTATTCCGATGTAATAACATTTAAAATTAAAAAACTAAAAATACAAGAATCTACAAACTACAAAATGTCTATAAATTCGGCGTGCGTATCGGTAAAGGCCTCATCCAACGATTTCTATTGTTGCCTATCTTGAGCAACTCTTCTCGAGTTTGGCCTTGCTGTTTAGTTTTATTTCATCCTCCCACCTAGTCTGCTGTCTTCCTCGTCTTCCTTTGCTGTTCCTTGGGTGCCATTCTGTTACTCTCCTGCTTCACTTCCCCACTTTGTCATGCATCATAGGTCTTGATCATCTCCACTTCTGTCGATCGATTCGTTTGAGAATGTCGGTAAGTTTTGTTGTATTACTTAAATCAGTATTTCTGATGTTATCAAGTCGTTTATAGCTGGTCATACTCTCCATTGCTCTCTGTGCTACTGTTTTTCTCTTATTGCCTTTGTGAGGGTCCAGGTAGTTATACGTGGCAGAGTCATGCTTTATACGTGGAAGAGCTATTTTGCAGCTATATTAGTAGTATAATTGTAGCACGAATGGGTCGGCTCGACCGAGGAAAGACCACGCTCTCACAAAATATCAGCGTAAAATGGCAGCTTAATGTTGCTGTGTTTCGAATGGTGAGTGTAGAGAACCGGAGACCCTTTTTACTGGAAACGAGGCATTCCATCTCAGTCCTCAGGAGTGACCACGCATCTACATTTTGACTCTTAATTGAGAATAAATATAGATGTCTATGAACCACAGCATCCACTTACCATCAGATGAACTGTGTGCTCGTTTATCACCCATATTCTATAAAAATATACATTATAAGTAAGGCCGTAAGATTTTAGAAAGTCATTTTTCTCATATTAGCAGAGATTATTTGTAGTAAAAGGTTTTTGTGTGTTGGGTTTCACAAATTAAGATTGACTCTTTATTTAATTAATATGTTTTGCCTTTAAATCTTGTAAAGTTACACTTGATTGCTTATCTAGAATATTCATCTAAGAGCTAATTAAAACCAAAATCCGACCAGCTTTTGTGTCGTTGACTGAAAATGTCAGACGAAGGGTATATACTAAGGGTGGGTGCACAACATTGAAACTTGTTTCGTTTAGATTCGAGTAGGAGGTGATATTTTTAGTCGAGTTTAATAAAAGTAGGAGGTTCTCAATCGACTCTTCGATTTTTGTATGTATGTTACACGATAATTTCGCCCATTGTTAATTAATTTTATAAAATATAATCCATTTTGTTAAAAATGTATGTGAACAAAATATATATAACCAGTATTATGCAATGACAAATTTTTAATTTTTAATGTCATGCGCTGGCGTTACTAAAGCGATATAATGACGTAACTGGCGTTTGAATTTACATTTTAGAAAAAACATTTTTTTTAATTATAAAATTACATGTAAATTCAATTGTTATTTTTTTTTTTTTTTTTAGTAAACTTTAAAAACATGCAACCTTTCTATAAATTTACGCGTTAAATTTAAGATAGCAAAATGCTTATTTGTTACCACACATTTGCGATGTAATGTAATCAATCTAATGATATTACCCAGTATGGAATACACCAGAAATATCTAATGACCTCCAATAGATGGCTACTATTTATTGCTGTACTATCTCGTATGTGCATATTAGATGTGAATTTACAACAGGAGAGCGCCATGTGGACTGTTAAGGAGTGGTGAATGCTAAAAGGTAACGAATTGTTGAAGTATATTTTAAACTAGTGGAGTTAATACTTTAATGCAAATATATAATAATGATGTCGGATGTAAAACGTCGGTAGGCATCCGCGCTGGATAGGGTTACAGTGTGCGTGTGTGCGCAAGCACAGGTCTCTATTCCCTCCCTCACATATAACGTCAGATGGGACGACAATACGTCACAATCAGGCGCAGGATCTGATTCCGGGTATCTATTGAAAATTTCTTTGAAGAAAAACCCAATAACTAATTTTAGCCTGGCACAGGATACGAACCACATGATCACGAGGCAGTCTTGTATATACTCGTAGATTATGTCATGGAAAATGAAGGAAAACATATCTTCAGGCATAAAGCCTATATACGTCCCACAGTCGAGCACAGGCCTGCTCTTATTTCTGAGAGGTTTATTGTGCAATAATCCACCTTGATGCTCCAGTGCTTGTTGGGGACTTCACATATCCTCAAAGTTATTTATTTCTAAGGCATGCAGATTTTCTCATGATGTAATCCTTCACTGCCGAGCATGTAGTAAAGTATTAAACTTTAGTACTTAAAATTGCTATTAACAATTTTAATGGCGTACAATGAAATTGAAGCCATATAAACATTTCCACTTTCACGAGTAGCGTATCTACATACAAGAAACAAGTGGAACATGTTTTAGGAAAAACATTGGAAACTTTTTACCTTTGTTTAGTTAATTGTAACGTAGGTACTCTATAGCTAATTACTGACCGCCATAGTGAGAGAACACCTTTAGGATCTTTGAACATCTTTACGAGCAAACCTTATTATAAGATGTCTATAAAGGTTTACTCTAATGCTATAGGACATTTTAATATTTTATTAATTTTCTCACCTGTCACCTAGGCAGTTATGTAGAGTCTATGACTTTCCATTTGCTACGATTCTGACACCTTTCTCGCTCATTTCACATCGATATATCTACGCATAAATGCTCGTCAGTTAACTTTTCTTAGACCATCTTCAATATATTGTCAATTTGGTAGTTAAATCCGTCTAGGCCGTGCCTTGCCGACTCTACTAATAATTTCACTCTTTCATTCTTTTATGTGGTAGAGCCATGCTGCAGCTATATTAGTAGTATAGTTGTAGCACGAATGGGTTGGCTCGACCGGGGAAGGACCACGCTCTCACGTAAAATACTCGTAGCAGCTTAATACTGCTGTGTTTCGTATGGTGAGTGTAGAGAACCGGAGACCTGTTTTACTGGAAAAGAGGCGTTCTATCTTAGTCCTCACGGGTGACAACGCATCTGCATTTTGATTCACAAACGAGGATAGATGTAGATGTCTATGGGCCACAGCAACCACTTACCAACAGGTGGACTGTGTGCTCGTTTATCACCCTATCCTATAAAAAAAGTGTCACATCCTTTCTAAGTGTCCAGACCACATTAATGTTACTACTACGCTACTTCTGCCACAATAAGCTTTCACTACTTACTTACAATGCTTCAATACTTTGTTATTGACGATCGTTGGTCTAGTGGTTGTAGTAGTGCGACTGCTGATCATGAGGTCCCGGGTTCGAATCCCGGGGCGGGCCAAAAAAAATCAGTTATTGAGTTTTTCCATCAAGAAATTCTCAGTAGCTGCCCGGAGTCAGGAAGCTGTCGGTCTCACCCCCGTGTCTCGGAAAGCACGTAAAGCCGTTGGCCCTGCGCCTGATCTCTCTTCGGTCGTGTCAGTTTACCGTACCATCGGACTATGAGAGTGAGGGAATAGAGAGTGCACCTGTGCTTGCGCATACGCTTGGGCACTATAATCCTGTCCTGCGCAGATGGCTAGTCTCCGTTGCGACTGGCCGCCGTGACTGAAATTCGGTCTGGAGGACATTATTATTATTATTATTGACGAACGTATTATATTTGATAACAAAAACCGTTCGATCATGTTTTTTAAATACTAGTAATGCTAGTAAACATTAATAATATTCGCTTTAACCACTTCTGGTAAGCTTAAAATGCTTTGGAGAATCAAGAAGTGGTTCACGACAGTAGTCGAATGGCGGATTCGAACCCACGACCTTTCGAGTTCACGGTTGGCGCCCTGCCATTAAGGCTACTGACGCTTCTAATATATATATATACATAAATTAAATTAAGAAATTAATTATCTTTTAGATAGATACCTCTTTATTGCATTTAAACAAAGCGGTTACAATAACGGAAGACTTTACTTTGAATGTACTTTGTGGGAGGCCTATGTTCAGCAGTGATATTTAATAGGCTGTAACGGTAACGGTTGTTCGCGCCAAACGCTGTTGTCGGAATCGACGTCTAGGGTTTTGTTTCGTCGGTTTGACAGTTGGATGTGTCGAGTAAACGGTAATACTTTAAATATTTGCTTTTTATATTAATTTTTTTCGTGAAAAAAATAGCTCATATTTGTATTTTTTACATTTAGTTGACAAATCTAACCCAAACTTTCATAAGTTAATACTTGGTAACAAGATATCAAAAGGAGCTTCAGAATTTTTAATGTTTCCAACAAACCTGCTGTGCAAAACTCGTAAACTCCTGGTTGACATGCAGTTAACGCTCCAATCAGTGTTGCCGTGGTCATTGCAGATCGTGATGGAGAACCTTCCATAGTTAGCTCTGATGAGGTGGATGACGGAACCTTCCGCGCAGCCAATCTTCAGTGTTTTCCCTTCGCATGCGTACGCTGTCTCGTATCTTGGTTCTGCAACAAAGAAGAAGCATTTTGTTAGAACGAGATATTGAATTTCTAAACTTCATCAAATTGAGTTTATTCAATCTCGTTTGACGTTCATGAAAATAAAAACTACTATCGATTCGAAAATTAAGAAACTAGGATTGTCTTTTTATTAGTTATTCTTTTGTTATTTTTGTAACTTTCTTGTATCCACTGTATTTGGAAATATAATTATGTGCAAGGGTGGGGGCCTCCAGTCTCCCACAAAGATCGCAGATTGTTTTATACTTTTCGGAAAATATAATTCATCATCATCATTATCATTAAAGCGCTTCATAAGTTCACTGCTGAAGAATTCCACAAAGCACGGTCAAAAGGTAATTAATGGTCTATAATGCCGTATTTTTTATGTTTAGCTTTTAGTACGATTTGGAACAGAATTATAGTCTTAAAGAAGTTTTTAAAAGTAAAGAGATTACCAACGTTATCTCCACCACCGTGTATAAGATTAGTGAAATCCGGCTACCTTCAGCTTTTAATCCTTAATTTTTAAGATATAAAGACCTTAAACACGGAACACGAAAAGGTGAACACAAATTATTAATGTCAGTTAATTCAAAAGAAACTGCGGCATGTTGCCACAGTTTGATAATTATTTTCAAGGATAGAGGTGAGGCTAAACAAACATGCGGCCATGCTGCTTAACTAATGACAAAAAATTAGTTGCATTATCAATTTTTGAGTTAGGACTAGGAGTAAAGTCATAATTTCTTAGTTATAAAAATTATCACGAATTATTCCTAAAGCATACACATACAAAACGAAGACACTCTTAACATACTCCGCATTAAATACGTTTAAAAAAAATCAACAATACCAAAGCCGCCTCAGCGCAATTCACATCAACAGAGTCGAAAAACAACCGACCAAAAGCAGCGCTCCCAAATAAATCCAATCAAACCGAACCGATATTGTTCGACCGATCGTTACGTTCAGAAACCATTTACCCGTCCAAAAGCAAACATCGTCCGAAGACAAAACGAAAAACTGTCGACTCAACGTTTCATAATCAATTTCTGAACGTTCCATCGACCAGGAAACTGACGCTGTGTTTTCGAACTCTCCGATACATCAATTCGTGTCTACCCGAATTAAAGAAGCACGAAGAATGTTCTAGAATGCAGTACGCTCGAAGATTTATTGTGGTAAGTTCGCGAGTAAAGGGGTGGTTAGGTGTGCATATTCTAAGGATCGAGTATAATAAATCTGGGCAAATTAATGGCGGCACGGACAGATCGTTTAACTCGTTTTCGCAACGTCATAGCGTAAAATGAGGGTTCCGTATACAATACATAATATATACTGGAGTAAATCCGGTGCTCATACTACTCGTGAGTCTAATATGAGAAGAATAATGATTATTTGTACACGAGAACAGAATGTGTCACAATAAAGATTTATCTATAGAAAAGTTATAAATGTTGTTCATTGCAAAATGCGAAAAAATTTTTCTTCTACGTCTATCAAATATAAAACGGCCAGTAATGAAATGAAATTCCTTAAGAACTTTCAGAAGGTAATACTAACACAAGATTTTATGGTGAAAAACAACCGTTTTTTTTTTTTACCGTTAACGCAACGATCGTACGGAAACGTAGCTATTAATCAAAAATTCGAGAGCGATTTAACGTTGCTACAGATTAACGATAAGCCTGCCGCCCTCGCAATAAATTATTCTGGCCTTTAAACATTGGTTTAACACGCGCTCTACGAAACCTCGTCATACAATATGCCCGTTAACCGACACTATTTTTTGATTTACATTTTTTTCTATGACTTCAATTAAATTCATATGTAATATAAATATACCAAGTTATTGAATTTTTTTTTTTTATAAAACTAAAGTGACAAACGAAGTTACAGTCTGCCTGATGTTAAGTGGCTACTGCATTCCATGGGCACCTGCAGCCAACTTCACATAAAGAAGGCTTCAGGTGTGTTGTCACCTCCGAGAATCGATAAGTGATTACATTTTTGTAAATTTGTTTGTAAAATAAACTCTCCAAGTCTGATCGATTATAGAAAGAACGTTTAATATCGTATTTATATAATATTTGAGATTACTTTTTTTTTCCAAGTAACAAATCAACAACACAAGCTTTCTCCAAAACTTCAACTTTAACTGACGAAACTGTGGGCGGTTTTATTTCGTAAGTACGTGTACTGCGAGCTTAAATCGCCCGTGGCGGAAAACCAATCAACCAATGAACATGTTACTAACATTTGTATGTTTTTGATCACAAGAAAAGGCGTTATTTTATTGTAAAAAAAAAAACAAGATAATCTTGTAATAACTGAATTAGGTCACGGAAGGTCATAGACATCTCTCCATCATCGATGGAAAAGTAAGTTACGTGACATTTACCTCAGTTGGCTACGATAAGCTGTGGAGGTAAGCATCTGTCTTAAAATACACTAGTTAGGACTTCTTTTGTAGTAGTCCTTTTGAGTAGGTAGCATTCTATAGTTCAGTAGTATATTTCGGTCTGAGAGCCAATTTTAATAACAGGCTGTGAGGTATTTCATCTTAATAATCTGAAGTGACAACGCATACAGATGCGAACACATATTAGGGAACTAGAAATTGGTCTAAACGTCACGGAGAGAAGGATGATGGGAAAAAGATAATCCGACAGAGTAAAAAATATAACTATAAAAAAACATACAAGAACAAAAAATGTGACAGTCACAATTCACAATAAAGGAACTTAAATGGAGACGGATTAGGGGAACAGACAAATGCAGCAAAATAATAATGTATTGGCAAACAAAGAAAGCTTTCTTTGTTCAAAGCTGGCTGCAGGCGTCCATGGGCTGAAGTGACCAATTATCATCAGGTAGACTGTGCATTCGTTTGTGAGTTCAGTTTTATAAAAATAAAAGCGCTGCGCTGAGCGAGATGTTTAGAGCGCTACATCGATACAATTGCTCAGGTGATACTGCTTTCCATCAGTCCAAAATTAGGGTTCGGCACTACCAATTACTGGGACGCCAAAATTGTTACATTTTTATAGTAGTAAGAGTGACAAAGGCCATGAAAGTATAAGGCAATTCCATTTGATATTAAATGGATGCTGGGGCCTACAGACACCATGCGAGTATATTCTCAATTATTTTTATAGAATAGGGTGACAAACGAGCACACAGTTCACCTGATGGTAAGTGGTTGCTGCGGCCCATAGACATATACATTTATTTTCGTTTGAGAATTAATATAATAAATGCAGATGCGTTGTCAGCCGTGAGGACTAAGATAGAATGCCTATTTTCCAGTAAAAAGGCTCTCCGGTTCTCTACACTCACCATACGAAACACAGCAGTTTTAAGCTGCTATTTTACGCTGGTATTCTGTGAGAGCGTGGTCCTTCCTTCCTTTGATTAAAAATCAAAATACAGATGCGTTTTCACCACTGAGGACTATAATAGAATACCTCGAATAAGATCGATTAACAGAAGTATTATAAAAGTGGTACTTCCCGGGATATTCGTGCTGCAGCTAGAATGCGCTGCAGCTTAGGTCTACAATCCCCATCATACCCCTTTATTACTGTGTGATTAAATATTGTTCAATAGTCGCTCAGCACGGTCCATACGGGAACACAAAATTAATCAATACATATCACTTCTGAGTAGACTGTGAACGATTAAGCATAGTGGGTACAAAACAAATATCTATGATTCTAGATTTTAGCATATTTCTAGCCTTTTATCGTAATCTGAAAAATTTAAGCTTAGAACCATTAGGGTATAAGACGTGATAAAGTCTAAATTAATTTCCAAAGTACTATCTATAGTATAGGCTTACGTCGTACTTATTGCTTTAGTCATTGTTAAGTTAGAACTTTTGGATGTTTGACATATTTTTCGATAACTATACTTAATCGCTTTCGATCGCTAAGCCGTTCTCAGCTAAGCTAATTTGTAAAGGTCGTCGTGCGCGATCTGCAATTAAGTAAAAGATTAATAAAAATAAGTGTTATTAAATTATTATACAATAAAATTTTTTTGGAGCCGTGGTAGCTCAGATGGGAGCCGTGGTAGCTCAGATGGTCAAGCGCTCGCTGAAAATTTCACAGTTAACTAGCAACCCGGATTCGATCCCCACCGGCACCAATGAAATTGTTAATTGCAATTTTAAGTGCTAATTTACCACGTCCTCGGCGGTGAAGGAAAACATCGTGAGGAAACCTGCATGTCTGAGAAATAAGAAAAGAAAATATTTCGAAGACATGCGAATGTCGCCAACACGCATCGGGGCAGCGCGGCGGACATTTCCTTGCTCCAAAACCCTCTCAGAAATGAGAGGAGACCTGTGCCCAGCAGTGGGACGATAATAAGCTGTAACTTTAACTGTATACACAAACACTCACGCCTGTCACCCAGAGGGGTAGGCAGAGACTTCCATTTATCGCGATCCTGACACACCTACCCGCCTCCTTTACATCCATATATCTACGCATACACGCTCGTCGGTTTTTTGTCGGTTTAACTGTATAAAGTTTTTTTTTTTGTAATTATTATCAATTTATTATTACATTTTAATGAAAAATGAAGAAGCTACTATGTATTTAAATGTATGGTTCTTTTTAGAGACGCAAAACTTTTTCACTTCTACTTATTTATTCTGTGCTTCTACAAAAATATTAAGTACGACTCAATGCCAATTTTGTGATAAGAGAAAAGTGTGATTTGCAATAAGATGTTGTAGGCAGAACTTTGAATGATATATTGAATAGGTCAGATTAAGAATACGCATAACCAATGAGCATGAATGATGTGTAGATATACGGATATAAACGGAACGAGATCGCTGTGTAAGATCACACAAAATGGAAGAACATGATATCTGCAACACCGCTGAGTAGGCGCAAGAATTTTTACATTATGAGTTGGTGCAATGCAAAAAAAAATATAGTCCAAATTTAAAAACTATTTATTGAAATTTGGAGTCAAGTAAATACAAAAAT